CATCGCCAAAAATTCCGCGGGAAAAGACTATTCCTCAGCCCAGCTCCGGGTCAAACCCAATTCGTGAGTCTCATTTTCAATCAATGTACTGTACTGCTGCAGTTAGTTCCAGGTTTAAAAAAGAATTCTACAAATATGTGTCTAAAAACTTGGCATGATGGCTGACTTCTTTGAATAAGTCACTCATAAAGTTAAGAAGGGTGGGTGTAAGTCTGGTGACATGAACCCACATTCAACCCCAAGTTTTCCTCGTCGGCATTTTATTCAGATGGGCACGCTGGTCATAAAAGCACTTTTGAAAACATAAAATTTGAAATAATAGTGAAAGCAATAAAATAATATTCGAATCAATATTCCAAACTGTTCCCAATAGATTGTCCAGCTTTAAATGCGACCCACTGTTTTCTGATCAACCATCTAAAAATGTATACGCATATGCATTTTTAAAATTATCTTTCGAGTCTGATTTATATCAATACTGAGTCAAAATCACTGCTGAACAGGGCTAAAAAAATTGCAGAATTTTGCTTCAAGGCTCAAGAAAGGACCGCAAATGTCGAAAAGTTCCCCGAATCGTTGAATCTTATCATGCTAAAACTCAAGCTCAAGTATTTCCAATTTCCAAATCACATTATGTTCTTATAATTTCTTATTTTATAATAAAAGCCCAAGAGTGGGAGCAAGTTTTGCTTAGAGGGTCTGAACCACTAAAAGAAAGAGAGTTGTTTCTGTTAAGATATTAAAGAATATGTCATGTAAACTACCCTAGATTCATGAGTGAGATTTGAGTGTATTTTGATAGGGTATAGTGATGCAGGCGACAAAAAAGCGAAATGTCAAGAAAATTATCAATTCTGCGTTAAAAATTCCCCAAATTGAAAATCCGTTTCGTGTCCTTCAAGCAAGTATTTTTTCTCTAAAAAAATAATTTTATGCGCTATACACGAGGAGTTGACAGTTATCTATCGCCGTCCTGAACTAATAATTTATTTTTTGTGTGTCAAACATGTCGACGAGCGATTTGGGGGAAATATACCTGTTATACATATACCCAGAACCCAGAATCGAAGTGCCCGTCAACATGTCGGTAAAGTGCATTTACGTGCATAATACGAGCAAGGATATAGGGAACATGGTTCAATGCGGCCAGATAAGAAATGGCGGAAATTAAATCCACGTCCCTGTTTGCCACGTCGACAGTGACGAAGACAGGGCGCCGTCGTTTCTCAGAAGACCCACTGGCTCCAAAATCATCGGTGGTGGAGAACTCCATTTGTCCGCCTGCATCGACGGAAAACCGGAACCGGATTTTCAGGTAAAAATAAAAAAAGTAAAAAAAAGAACAAACGCTTTAATTCTATTTTTCACAAAAATTGCGATATATTTCAAAAGCTTTCATCAGCCTAAATTGCATTTCCATGCGAGGCAGACAATAGTGATGCATTTGTCAGTGGACTTCGATCAATTTCAGAGGGAAAAGTACATCATTATTATTTTAAAAGAAAAACCCCTTCAACCCCTTGGCTGCGGAAATAATGGGATTTTCGCGGGAAATATCGTTGTCCACAGCAAGGACTCATGAATAAATGCAAAATAAAAGTTCAATGGAATGCGTATATCCGTGGTCCGAATATTTTTATACTGTGTTATTTTTAACTGTTCCAGACAGCATTTTCTCGCAAAAAAAAAAAGAAAAGATTCCGAGGATTAAGAATTTGTTGCTGCATTCTTCCCATATGATTAACTCAGATTTTTCAAAAGCAGATTGAAGCTACTGAAATTTTTCAGGGCAGACTCGACCCTTCCAAAAATATTTAAATTTTGTATATACGCAGGCTGTATTTTGGTGACTTTCAGTCCAACCAACACGCACATGCAATTTAGAAAAAAATGCCCTGTCATTTCCATGAAATATAATTTTTTTTGCCAAACACTCCATCGTAAGGACGTTTTGTGCTTTAATAATTGAAAAATGAAGTATCTTTTAAACACTATTGAGAGACACGTATATGGATCAGAGGTTGTGAAATGGAGACCCTCAAGAAGAAATTACAGTATTTTAAGCTTAGCGGTCTGTAATAAGGGATTACGGTAGTCGAGGTACACTCTTTATACAAAATTTGAGGTAGGAACAATTCAAGACAGGAACAATACTAAACAAATTTAATGAAATTCAGAGGGTGGGAAGTTTAATCGAGGATATTTTGTACGTACTCTAGCTGGAACATTTCAATTTTTTGTTCAGTTAGAGTATTGCGCATCAAGCAAACTCATATTTTCCATAACATTCCCGTGATATAAAATTTGTGACTTTTAAAAATCAAAATGAAACTTGGCCTACGTGAAATGGATTCATGGCAGCATGCAAGATCCACTGTATAATCCACAGTCTAAAATTGATTAACTGCCATCATTCGCTTGTGAGATTTGTGGCAGTTTAACGGGATTGGCAGTCTAGAAAATGAAGTTGGCCATAACGGGTTGGTGGTTATCAAAAAAGCTAAAATAATATAAAAATCAATTATGACCGGAAATACAATTTTTTATTCTTCTAGGAAACAATCAAAATAACTCTGGAATGCGTCAATTATATGTATCTCATGTTCCCGAGAAGTAAATCATGTCATCTTTGTGTTTGTGTGTTTTTAATCTATATATTAGACCTGCTATCACATAAACTCGAATCTTGGTGACAGGCTATCAAAGATAAAAATTATTGAATTAACTACCATTAGCATTTTTGAGTTGTCAATAAGATTGCCATAATTTTCGGTCACCGTGCGCCGCGCAATGGAAATCAAACCCGCCGTCGTCCAAAAGTTAATAGGGGTTTGACTGTAATACTGTATTAACATCGTACCTTGAATGAAGTAGACTTGAAGAATAAACTTTTATTATTATAGTGGTTCCTCGATGGCGAAGAGATCAGAACATCGGATCCCAGAAGACGAGTGGAGCGAGGGGGTTCGGGTTTGGCCCACTTGTCCATCCGCAATTGCGCCGACACTGACGCCGGGGTCTACCGACTTCGCATTTCCAACGTCTGCGGAGAGATGTCGTCCGTAGCCACGGTCACCTACGATCACAGTAATGAGCCGTTGTTGCCTAAACCTCGAACGCATTGGTCGAGAAACGAGTACAAGTTTGCGCTAGCTGAGCGAGCCTAGACGCGGCGCTTGAGAGTTAACAAGAGTGTCTTAGCAAGGTGGCATTTACCGTCATCTACCGCGACTAAGACGCGACGGGTGAACGCTAAAAAAAAAAGCTCAATTTCATCTATCATTTCTTTCAGCGGTCTTTGCTCTTGATGGTGAACGGCGAGATCAAGTACAGTACAGAAATTGAAATCGGTGCTGAGGTTAAAATTCGAGGCGAGATGCTTCAGATGTAAAGTATCTCGCCTTGATTAACTCATGAACAAAATAATATTTTTTGGATTCAAGGAAGAGCAAACCTGACTTATTCTATAGATCCGATCTGCTGTTTAGTAAATTCACAGATTAAGGAGTTTTCTAAACAGGGAATTTGAGATGTGAAATAAGGTCAGACAGTGGCTCGAATCGTTTTAATCTACAAAGAAATCCAGGGTATCAGAAAAAAATCGATATCGAGAGAATTTGTTGTGGAAAACCTCTATAGCATGATCAGAGAGCCCTATGGGACCAAAGATGTCGTGATACATAGAAAATCGTTGTAGAAAGAATCGTTGTTGGGAGAGTACATCTGTAAAGTTAATATTGTAAGATTTTTAGCTTTATTTAGTCAATACGACTTATTTTTCCATTCAACTTCAGGTATTTTATTTTATAGTAGGACAGTGGATATAGCGACGTTGTTCATCAGAGAATTTCATGTTTATAAGTACTGTACATTATTTCAATCATTCCTATGAACGAAATAAATACAAAATCATTTAGAGGATTCAATTTTCCATCTATAACAAGGTTGTCTACAGGATAAATTTGGTATAATCGTTATACTTTATGCAGCATCAAATTCTCAAGAATAGCGATTTGAAATCACTATGTATAGAGTAAAATCTCCATGCAACGAAGCTATCGGAACTAGTGAAATAGCATCGTTGTAACGAAAACTTCGCTGTAAAGGAACTCTTATATAACATAGTTGCTTCTGGGCATCAAGGACTTACAAATGACTTCGCTGTAATCGATTATTCGTTTTAACGAGATTCTACGAGATTTTTCTACATTTGAGTTTAAAATACTTGACAGTATTTCCTGCAATATTTCCACAAAGATTTTACAGGAAGTTGAAAAAGTTTAATTCAAACGCTCGAGGTAGCTATTATCAGTGTATATACTGCATGTTATAGGTTTTTTTTCCGGATACCAAAATTTCGTACTGGATCTCGTCGAAAACCAGTCCAGCAAATTTTGAGCATTTCGCGAAATAATGCTTGAGAAAGTTGTGATTTCCCATAAAAAACTAGAATTTTCAAAATCGTAAATTTATATTTTCCCTCTGATAAGAGAGTTCAAGGCGGAAGCACTTCGTGGATCATCTCGAAAATTCTTGCGAATGTCTAACAGATGACTCTTTTTTATGCATTTTCTTTCGCATCTTTTTGTTCCTGTCATCAGTGTCATAACCGGCATATATTTGCAAGGCGGGAAATGCGAGTAAGTTCAGGTATTAACACTGCACAGCACACGCCACACCTATACACTCATCACATTTGTTGGTCCAATTTGACAATTGCATGTGCCTTGTATATGTGTGATTGCATGATGAAATGTTTTTGTTTTTGTGTTTTGCACGATCCGTGTCAAATGTGGCTCACAAAATTCGCTCAGGTGCTGGTATAATGTGTCCTCTCTGGAGTAGTGAATGTTGCTCGACTCCTTGCTGGCTCATCATGGATGCTGAATCTTCTGATGAAGATGCAAATCATTAAGAGATCCCTTCAATCCCAGCAGAGATTCATTTGCATTCAGACGTACATTTGCTCTTGATCCTGTAAGATATGAGCCGACTGACGCATTTCCTCAGTTGAAAGTCACACTTTTCCTCCTAAAAATGCTATGAAAACCTCGGGTGCGATCTAAAATCGAGATCTATTATTGATCGCAGTGCCGAAAAGTTTTGATTTGTTAACTGAAACTTTTAAAATTATAAATCAACAAAGATATGAAAGCAAAATTGATGACACTAATGCTGTCCTTAAAAAAGGAACCAATATTGTACGAAATTTTTTTTCCGGCGGTTCGCCAAGTTAAATTTGCATCAAAACCGCCTAAAATTGGTGTAAAATTCAACGTACCAAAACACGTTTATATCATTGTTTTACAGAAGAAACGAAATTGCTGTACTGCAATTTTTCTCTTGGTAATTTATTTTTCGCAGCTCGTAAAGATTTTTCCGTTGCCAAAAATCAGGATTCGTCCTGTAATGGCTCATTTGGTAAAATATAATTCAGGAAAATTCTCTGGTTTGCGTAAAAATCGATGGAAAGNCCAGCTCTTTGCTCATGTTCAAACGCGATCGACTCGCTCGGATCTGCGCCGCGAACTCTCAATTGTTCTCACAGAATCGTTCCACCGTAAATGGCAGTAGATGGCGCTGATTCTGCGCTGCCCACTTTGCTAAAAAAAAAAAAAGCTCAATTTCATCTATCATTTCTTTCAGCGGTCTTTGCTCTTGATGGTGAACGGCGAGATCAAGTACAGAAATGGGAATTGGTGTTGAGGTTCAAACTCGAGGCGAGATGCTTCAGATGTAAATTATCTCGCCTTGATTAACTCATGAACAAAATAATATTTTTTGGATTTAAGGAAGAGCAAACCTGACTTGTTTTACGGATGCCACCTGGTGTTTAGTAAATTTACAGATGAAGGAGTTTTCTAAACAGGGAATTTGAGATGTGAAATAAGGTCAGACAGTGGCTCGAATCGTTTTAATCAACAAAGAAATCCAGGGTATCATAAAAAAATCGATATCGAGAGAATTTGTTGTGGAAAACCTCTATAGCATGATTAGAGAGTCCTATGGGACCAAAAAAGTCGTGATACAAAGAAAATCGTTGTAGAAAGAATCGTTGTTGGGAGAGTACATCTGTAGTTAATATTGTAAGATTCTTAGCTTTATTTAGTTGATACGACTTATTTTTCCATTCAACTTCAGGTATTTTATTTTAAGTGAGCCAGTGAATATAGCGACGTCGTTCACCAGAGAAGTTCACGTTTATAAGTACACTATTTCAATCATTCCTTTGAACGAAATAAATACATTATAATTTAGAGGATTCAATTTTCTATCATTAACAAGGTTGTCTACATTATAGATTTGGTATAATCGCTATACTTTATGCAGCTATCAAGTTTTGAAGATCAATAGCGATTTGAAATCACTATATAGAGTAAAATCTCCATGCAAAGAAGCTATCGGGACTAGTGAAATAGCGTCGTTGTAAAGAAAACTTCGCTGTAAAGGAACTCTTGTATAACATAGTTGCTTCTGGGCATCAGGGACTTACAAATGACTTCGCTGTAATCTATTTTTCGTTTTAACGAGATTCCTCCACATTTGAGTTTAAAATACTTCAGTATTTCCTGTAATTTTCCCACAAAGATTTCACAGGAAGTTGAAAAAGTTTAATTCAAACGCTCGAGGTAGCTATTATCAGTATATACTGCATGTTATAGGTTTTTTTTTCCGGATACCAAAATTTCGTACTGGATCTCGTCGAAAACCAGTCCAGCAAATTTTGAGCATTTCGCGAAATAATGCTTGAGAAAGTTGTGATTTCCCATAAAAAACTAGAATTTTCAAAATCGTAAATTTATATATTTTCCCTCTGATAAGAGAGTTCAAGGCGGAAGCACTTCGTGGATCATCTCGAAAATTCTTGCGAATGTCTAACAGATGACTCTTTTTTATGCATTTTCTTTCGCATCTTTTTGTTCCTGTCATCAGTGTCATAACCGGCATATATTTGCAAGGCGGGAAATGCGAGTAAGTTCAGGTATTAACACTGCACAGCACACGCCACACCTATACACTCATCACATTTTTTGGTCCAATTTGACAATTGCATGTGCTTGTATATGTGTGATTGCATGATGAAATGTTTTTGTTTTTTGTGTTTTGCACGATCCGTGTCAAATGTGGCTCACAAAATTCGCTCAGGTGCTGGTATAATGTGTCCTCTCTGGAGTAGTGAATGTTGCTCGACTCCTTGCTGGCTCATGGATGCTGAATCTTCTGATGAAGATGCAAATCATTAAGAGATCCCTTCAATCCCAGCAGAGATTCATTTGCATTCAGACGTACATTTGCTCTTGATCCTGTAAGATATGAGCCGACTGACGCATTTCCTCAGTTGAAAGTCACACTTTTCCTCCTAAAAATGCTATGAAAACCTCGGGTGCGATCTAAAATCGAGATCTATTATTGATCGCAGTGCCGAAAAGTTTTGATTTGTTAACTGAAACTTTTAAAATTATAAATCAACAAAGATATGAAAGCAAAATTGATGACATTAATGCTGTCCTTAAAAAAGGAACCAATATTGTACGAAATTTTTTTTCCGGCGGTTCGCCAAGTTAAATTTGCATCAAAACCGCCTAAAATTGGTGTAAAATTCAACGTACCAAAACACGTTTATATCATTGTTTTACAGAAGAAACGAAATTGCTGTACTGCAATTTTTCTCTTGGTAATTTATTTTTCGCAGCTCGTAAAGATTTTTCCGTTGCCAAAAATCAGGATTCGTCCTGTAATGGCTCATTTGGTAAAATATAATTCAGGAAAATTCTCTGGTTTGCGTAAAAATCGATGGAAAGAAAAGAAAAAAATTGAGGATAATTTCGTGCTGAAAATGGAAAGAAAATGTAAGCTCTGCAAAATTATTTTCATGAGTAAGTAAGTGTATGGGATGTTCATACGAACTGGGGTAATTTAAAAAAAAATCTTATTGCCACACCGGAATTGAAAACTAATTTTGTTCAAATTAAAAACTTTCAAACAAGGTTTAAAATTGTGATCTCTGCTGGGTGCATCTTCGAAAATCTCATGCCTTATTTTTCTCGGGATATGCTGTTGCTTCTCCGGCTTTTCTCTCTTTCTTCTCTGCTGCTGCTGGTCATATTATTCAGTTTCGTGGTACCCCCACGACGACACCCGGAAATTTCATCATTGTTTAATACTGCTGTTTTTTTTCTTCTTCTTCGCGTGATTCGATTTTGGGGGGGGCAATTTCTTTTTCCGCTGCTGTCGGGACACGACCACCAGCTTACGATTTATACAGAAAGCGAACGATAGAAGATGCGCCTTTGCCGCTGACGGACAAACCCATCATCAGCAAAATGACGGAATGAAAACCTCGGGTGCGATCTAAAATCGAGATCTATTATTGATCGCAGTGCCGAAAAGTTTTGATTTGTTAACTGAAACTTTTAAAATTATAAATCAACAAAGATATGAAAGCAAAATTGATGACACTAATGCTGTCCTTAAAAAAGGAACCAATATTGTACGAAATTTTTTTTCCGGCGGTTCGTCAAGTTAAATTTGCATCAAAACCGCCTAAAATTGGTGTAAAATGCAACGTACCAAAACACGTTTATATCACGGTTTTACAGAAGAAACGAAATTGCTGTACTGAAATTTTTCTCTTGGTAATTTATTTTTCGCAGCTCGTAAAGATTTTTCCGTAGCCAAAAAGCAGGATTCGTCCTATATAATGGCTCATTTGGTAGAATATAATTGAGGAAAATTCTCTATTTTGCGTAAAACTCGACGGAAATAAACGAGAAAAAAAACATTGAGGATAATTTCGTGCTGAAAATAGAAAGAAAAATTTAAGCTCTGCAAAATTATTTTCACGTGTAAGTAAGTGTACGGGATGTTCATACGAACTGGGGTAATTTTTTTTTAATCTTATTGCCACACCGGAATTGATTCCTAATTTTGTTCAAAACTCCAAGGATTAAAAACTTTCAAACAAGGTTTAAAATTGTGATCTCTGCTGGGTGCATCTTCGAAAATCTCATGCCTTATTTTTCTCGGGATGCTGTTGCTTCTCCGGCTTTTCTCTCTTTCTTCTCTGCTGCTGCTGGTCATATTATTCAGTTCGTGGAACCCCCACGACGACACCCGGAAATTTCATCATTGTTTAATACTGCTGTTTTTTTTCCTTCTTCTTCGCGTGATTCGATTTTGGGGGGGCAATTTCTTTTTCCGCTGCTGTCGGGACACGACCACCAGCTTACGATTTATACAGAAAGCGAACGATAGAAGATGCGCCTTTGCCGCTGACGGACAAACCCATCATCAGCAAAATGACGGATCGCCGCCTCGTGTTGGGCTGGCATCCGTACATCCCACAGCCGCTTTTTGGGCCTCGGGCGCCGCCTGTCACCTACGTCATCGAGATGGCGGATTTCCCGGGCGACGAGTGGCACACCGTACAACGAGGTATGTGCTTTCTTTATGCCTTGTTTGGGGCCAATTTGAGTCTCTTTTTTACGACACGTTATTACTGAGTCTTCTATTTTTAAAATTTTTCATTTTCCTTTTTGAAACTCGACGAGAAGTTTTTGGGTTTCTTGGTCCATATCTGTATTAAAATGAGCGCCCCCTCACAAAGAATGTCTTCGTTAAGCATTGTAATCGAAAATCACAATGAATTAATCGCAGAAAGAGACAGGGTGTGATGGTTTCAAAACTATTGAACCAAGGAACAAATGTTTTTGGCCAACTTGAAGCTGTGTGCATAAATTTGTATTCATAAGTATTTAATTTTTAAAAGTGACTTATTGATGAAACATGTAGAGAAATTTTCAGTTTTATCTATAAGGCAGAGAAAAATAAGCTCCCGCTTCACAAAAAAAATGTAATCTCAAAGAATATGATCGGAAATCGAAATAAATTAACCACTCATGAAGATACGGGGAGATATTTCGGATGTAGTTGCATTAATTTTAGATCGTTTTGATCAATTTGAGGTTGTATATTTTAAAACAAAAATTAATGATTTGTTTACAGTATTTCTTTGGCGAAACCCGGTGACGAATCCGCGTGGTTTTTTTATGCTTTAAAATATATGTGCCCATCTCGATGTCATTCATCTTGAAGCACGTCAGCGGATATTAAAAATTAATGAACCACGAAAAAGGATTGAGGTGTTGTATTTTGTATATTAAAGTACAAACAAGCCTGTATACTCATGCACTCCTAATATAAAAAAAATAATCGTAAGTTACCTAAATGTTTACGGGTGAAGCAAATTTCGGTTACGCCTTATTGTTTTCATTCAGTATTGCTTGTTACTTCGCGTTCATTTTTATAGGCCATGTGGCAAATGAAAACACTTTTTTTCTGTCAAAACAAGAGAAATGAGATCGGAGAAGTTTTTCATGACAACGTCAAAACAACAGCTGGCTGAAAATTGAGAAACTTCTGAACTTTCCAGATAGCTCGAAAGTTTTCCCGAATTTGAATTTTCTCTCGCCTTAAAAAAGCTTTGTGCTGGTTGAATTAATATCTGCATTATTAAAACATGTTTTTTCCAAAAAAAAGTGCCACTTCCCCTTTACTGTCGGATTCTTATCGTATCTAAACACTTCCTGCGTCGCGAAAAATATATCTGGATGAATTAGTGTTGCTATATTTTTAACCGTGTGCTTTTTTTTCTCAATGATCACATGATGTACCGCGGATAATCAAACGACTTTATAAATTTGTGTTCAAATGGTGAACAACTTATATACTGTAATTAAATAGCAAATAATCAATGAAATTTCCCCGGATTTCGAAGCGCGTTAGCCTAAATAATCACAAAATCGGAGTACAATCAAGTGCCAAAAGCTTGAAATTATGGCAGAACCTGCTTACAGTGAATTGCTTGGGACTTTAAAAGAAGCTTCGTTGTAAACAAAAATTCACTGAAACGAAATTAAAATAGTAAGTAACTATATTGAACAGAGAGCAGAAAAAATGTGTTCAGATTCTTCTGTATATAAGTGATGATTATATCCAGGCATTTTCTTTTCCCTCTGAAATAAATCAGAATTTGGTGGTTTTGATCCACGGACCTCTGGGCCCATAACCCAGAGGTCAAAACCACACTCTGCTACCAATTTATATTGGGCACAAAAGGCTGCAATATAAGTTGATGTCAAGTATTTTGTTGATAAGCAAGAAAACAAATTGATCAGTCCGGGACTGGACCAGGATTCCTTTTGGAATTCCTAGGTTAAAGGGATAACGCTGTATTTCACAAATACGGAATAAACAACTCCACAAGCTCAGGCTTGTAAGGATAATGAGGATAACTTGAGTAACACACAGTTGAACTGAATCTGTTTATTGGAAAAGGAGCAGCTTATTTACTAACAATTATATTTAACCTTTGTAAGGTTTTACTATGCAATCAGAATAGGAGAATTTATCATGGAGGAAGCGATTTTGAGGAGGGTGAATAGAATCTCTACTTCTAAGAATTGAGTATATTAGAGTATTTTACTATACATGGCGTGCATGCCCAACATCTTTTCCCTCTAAAATGAATCAGAATTTGGTGGCCCGGATAAATCAAAGCGCTGATGATAATGGCATGTTGTATTTGAGAAACTCACTGGGTACCTTATAAAAATGCATGAAAGGGGTTCGAGGCTGCACTTGTGAGATCAGGAACCTGGAACCCTTCAAGGATTACAAGTTCCGGATCCGGTGTGAGAACCGTTATGGCGTGAGCGAGGCCTCGCCTTACGCTGTGGCGAACCGGAGCAAAATCAGGCCAGATCCCCCAACTTTCAAGCACTATTTGGAACCCGGGGTTAAATTTCGACCGGATTCATCGCCTTACTTCCCCCAGGATTTCGACATTGAACGACCGCCTCATGATCAACTCGGAGCCGCCCCAAGGTATGAGGCAAATAAAACGAAATTATCCGATTCATCAGCACGACTTTTCATGAGCCCAGGATTTGAAAGTTCTGAAATACGTTTCCTGTTCTTTAAAATCACGGAAAAAGAAGATTTGCGGTGATCAAAATTCTGCCAATAAGTGATTTTCTGGGAAACGAACATTTTTATCGCTGAATTATCCTGCGTCGACAATGAAGAGCCATTTTTATTTGATGCAGATATCGATGAATTTCAGAATATTCTATGCAATTCAATTATGCTGTATAAATGCATGTTTGGATTTGATCAGAAAAAAGAAAGTGATGTTTTTCTTTCTTCTCAGATTTTTGCGGCAGCAAGATGATGTTCAGTATGGAATCAAGGATCAGCCTGCCAATATTCGTTGGTTTGTTTACGGATATCCGAAACCGGTTGTTCACTGGTTGTTCAATGGAGAACCCGTAGATCTTCCGCCTTCTAAGTCCATTCTTAGACTTAAACTTCTTTTGACCTTTTAAATTTTATTACCTGTCAAAAAGAACGAAATACTATGAATAGAATGAAGCTCCCTGTCAAAATTCGCAAACCATAAACTGACGAGAGCGGGTTTTATTTGGCGTCATGAAGTGCGTCATTTTTCTCTACAACGTTATACTTGACAAAACAGTATATGCCGAAATTTTTAGACATGGGCATCTAGCAATATTGATTTGTTGAGTTGAGAAATTTGGGATCTTAAATGTCAAACTGACCAGAGGAAAACTGTAAAGAAGTACCACGCGTTCGTTTAGATTTCTCTATATAACGTCTCCAGCTTACCGGCCTATCGACTGAAGCATATTGAAATTTTACTTCGCTGCCATCGTTCTTACTAATCAGTGATGGTAATGAAGAGAATGTGCATTTTGATTGTTGAACCAACTATTTTTCTGTTCTCAGGTCAACCTACACAAGGAATGGGTGCGCGACGCTGATGATCAACTCGTAAGACCTTTCTTCGAATTTTTTCTTATCAGAAAATCTCACAGAATGAAGAGATGATTATTTTTTGAAGATCACTCTTTTCTTCTAATAATAATAAAAAAACTAAAAACGTTTTGAATGGAAGATCTAATTGTTTAGAGACAGGTATGATGTGAACATTTTTCCAGTCATCAAGTTTGAAAATCTCATTAAAGTATTTAATGCAGTCAAACCTTTCGAAGTCCAGGGACAGAAAGAAAAATATTCAATTGAAGAAGGTTTTTGGTTAGGGAAACAATTTTTGTTGCTGTGGGAAACATAGAAGTACTGCAGGAAATTTTAAATGGTGATACTGTATTTTGGGCCTTAAATTGCTTCTGATTGAATTGATAGGATGCACCAAATTTGGATGCAAGGGTTCATCTGCCCAATTAGTCCTTTACTTCTCTTCAAAACACATATGGTTACTTTTTAAACCTTGAGCAGCAAAGTCAGGATATTTTCACAAAATTTTGTGCTCATGAGCACTGAGAATAAAAAAAGAATAATTCTGCACCAAGGCCTTAAGCTGGGAAAAAGCCAAATACTTATTTATATCCTGCAGAAAAATGTGCCAAAAAATACTCACTGAGTGGCTTATTTAAAGGAATTCCTATTGCCAAAGATTAGGATTAGAGATTTTGGAATACAAAAGGATTCACCCTTCCTGGATTTTTCCTGCCTTAGGCCTTCCCAACCTGGGGTCATTTCAGTGACCTTGCGTCAAACTGAAATGCGCCATTCCGTGAAAAAATCCTGACTGCCGCAGAATGCCCTGGAACCCTCTGCCATTCAAGGGTTGAAATTGATTTTTGCTCTTCTGTGTCAAGAAAATAATAGCCAAAGGGCCTCAGAAAATTATATTTACCCAGGTTTGAGAGGAAAAGCCTTCAAGTTAGGCGGATGTTTAATGCATGGTTTCTAATCTGGGAATTTAGCCGGGTCTTTAAAAAACTTCAATTCATCAAGGTTCAACTGCTGTATAGCAAACTTTTTTCTGAAAAGTACCCTAACCCTTGGACAGCGGAGGGTTCTTTCCCATAGCGGGACAGGGTTGGATTATTTTTGTATCCTCCCAAATTTTCAGATTTTTGAGGGTCAGAAAAACCCTTCCAGGTGAGCTGAGGCAAAGTTGGGATAAATCCATAAAAAGCAGGTAGACTAACTGAGCATTTTTTTTTCTCCAAAAATTTTCTGTGCCCAGGGAAAAAACATCCGGATTTTTCCCAACTTTGCCCTTAATCCTTCTGCAACAAAGTCAGACTTTTTTTGCAGATTTTGGTTGCACTCAAGAGTGGAGTTAACCCTTGGGCGGCAAAGTCGGACTTCTTCCGCAAAATTTGGTGTCAGTAAGAGAAGCTTTAAAAAAATTTGTGACAGTGCATCCAGGGCAAAGTACTAATAATAATAAAAAAACTAAAAACGTTTTGAATGGAAGATCTAATTGTTTAGAGACAGGTATGATGTGAACATTTTTCCAGTCATCAAGTTTGAAAATCTCATTAAAGTATTTAATGCAGTCAAACCTTTCGAAGTCCAGGGACAGAAAGAAAAATATTCAATTGAAGAAGGTTTTTGGTTAGGGAAACAATTTTTGTTGCTGTGGGAAACATAGAAGTACTGCAGGAAATTTTAAATGGTGATACTGTATTTTGGGCCTTAAATTGCTTCTGATTGAATTGATAGGATGCACCAAACTTGGATGCAAGGGTTCATCTGCCGAATTAGTCCTTTACTTCTCTTCAAAACACATATGGTTACTTTTTAAACCTTGAGCAGCAAAGTTGGGATATTTTCACAAAATTTTGTGCTCATGAGCACTGAGAATAAAAAAATAATAATTCTGCACCAAGGCCTTAAGCTGGGAAAAAGCCAAATACTTATTTATATCCTGCAGAAAAATGTGCCAAAAAATACTCTCTGAGTGGCTTATTTAAAGGAATTCCTATTGCCAAAGATTAGGATTAGAGATTTTGGAATACAAAAGGATTCACCCTTCCTGGATTTTTCCTGCCTTAGGCCTTCCCAACCTGGGCTCATTTCAGTGACCTTGCGCCAAACTGAAATGCGCCATTCTGTGAAAAAATCCTGACTGCCGCAGAATGCCCTGGAACCCTCTGCCATTCAAGGGTTGAAATTGATTTTCGCTCTTCTGTGTCAAGAAAATAATAGCCAAAGGGCCTCAGAAAATTATATCTACCCAGGTTTGAGAGGAAAAGCCTTCAAGTTAGGCAGAATGTTAATGCATGGTTTCTAATCTGGGAATTTAGCCAGGTCTTTGAAAAAATTCAAATCATCCAGGTTCAACTGCTATATAGTAAACTTTTTCTGAAAAGTCCTCTAACCCTTGGACAGCGGAGGGTTCTTTCCCATAGCGGGACAGGGTTGGATTATTTTTGTATCCTCCCAAATTTTCAGATTTTTGAAGGTCAGAAAAACCCTTCCAGGTGAGCTGAGGCAAAGTTGGGATAAATCCATAAAAAGCAGGTAGACTAATTGAGCTTTTTTTTTCCTCCAAAAATTTTCTGTGCCCAGGGAAAAAACATCCGGATTTTTCCCAACTTTGCCCTTAATCCTTCTGCAACAAAGTCAGACTTTTTCACGTCTAAAACCAACGTGAGTTCTCACCTCAATTGGGAACCCGCCGTTTCAGCCTGAAGAAGGCGTTTTAAACCACAGTCATTCTCTTCGAAATTTTTTTAAACACTGTCACGTAGGTCCCGTTTCACGGGAAAAATCCTGGCGTATTTTTTAAATACTGCAGAAAAATTTTGCCCAAAAATGAAAAAAGCCATATCCAAGGCTGAGATTTTTTTCATCTCATCCCTGGATTAGGTTTATTATTCTCAGCCTCTTGGCCCTCTCATTTTGGGCACCAGAAGAAGGGTTCCCATTTAGAGGCCACACAAGAAATCGCCTTCTTCAGACTGAAACCCTTTAGTGTTGTTGTGTAAAAAAGGCCTGTTTCAGGTTGAAACGGGATCCGGTGGACTGAACCGACAGTACCGGAAGTTATTTTAAATTTGTACCCGGGTGGGGAGAAATCCGTACTTCGTCCCGCAATGGGAAAGAACCTGTTGCTGCAGAAGGGTTAAAGAACCCCTAACAGTGTGTGCAGGGCAAAGTTGGGAAAAATCCTGGGATTTTTTAAATTTTCCACAGAAAAATTTCAGCTGAAAATGAAAAAAGGAAACTTCAAAGCTCCCTTTATTCCCTTCACCTTGTATTGTTTCCCCATTCAAAGATTAAATTTCAGCTTAAAAGCCAGGAGTCCAGGTTAGAGGTCAATACAGAAAAAGTCCAACTCAGGACTTTCCCCATCATTTCTTTATCCCCAGATAAAATCAGACTTTGCCCTCCCCCACCTGGCAGGGGTTGCATAACCTTGTGCAAAAATATAATGCAGGCCTATGGGGAAAAAGTCCAAATTCACCCTGTGATGGAAAGCAGGCTGCCGCCGTCCAAGGGTTAACTGCTGTTGACATTTTTTCTTCACCTCTCTGAGGTGCAACAAAATTTCGCAAAAATAATCTGACTTATGGGGAAAAAGTCCAAATTCACCCTGTGATGGAAAGCAGGCTGCCGCCGTCCAAGGGTTAACTCCTGTTGACATTTTTTCTTCACCTCTCTGAGGTGCAACAAAATTTCGCAAAAATAATCTGACTTCCCCAAGGGTTTAATAAGTTTGCTGTTGTGTGATTTCAACTGTAATACGCTTCGATTCCCTGCTTCGAAGGATGCTGGAACGAGACGTGGGCCTGTACGAGTGCGTGGCGACCAACGAGCACGGTACGACGCGGCAGAAGCAGCACGTGGAGCTCGCGGATCGGCCGCGCATCGTGGAACACCTCCAGGAAACCACTTCCATGCTGGGCAGAACGGCGAAACTCGAGTGCCAAATCAGTGGGATCCCGTATCCCGACATCAAGTGGTACAAGGACTGGCAACCCCTAGCCCCATCCACCAGGATTAAGGTAGAGGAACTAGTAAGCAAGCGATTCTCCGAGGCATTTCCCCCGGTCTTACAGCTCGGCACGTTGTTCTCCTGGCAGCAACTGTCTGCCTCAGGAACAATGCCGTGAACGTGCTGGCGGTGAGCCGCCGCGGTGATGAGGTACTGAAGGTAAATGGGTCTTGATTGTGGTGGTGTGCCACATGCTGACTGGTGAGCTCAGGTGCAAACTCGACTCATTCTGCCGACATTTCTGCTTATTTTCCCTCTTCCTCTTTCGAAAGGCAAAAATAACTAAATAACCCTGAAAATTGTCCCATGCAGCATTAATAATGTAATCATAATTTATTCAAGAAGAATCAGCAGAATACGTAGTCTTTCCATTTCCATCATTGATTGCTAAAATCAATGTTGGCTAATGTAACATGAATATTTTGAAAAGTGATGAGCATCTAAATCACGAAATTCGGTTCGAAAGATTAACTAGTGTGATAGAACATTAGGAGAAAATCATGACATCTTTATAGGATAACCAGTATCCTAAGCTTTATCCAGCACCTGAGATTTAATTCTTCCGAATTTTAAGAAAAAAATGCAAAGAAAAATTTGGGGAATACTAAAAAGAAATATGTTGAAGATATTTTGAAGGTTATTCTTTGAAAATAAAAATGCGATTCATTTATTGAATGAATCGCTGAAATTTTGTCCTGAAATTCGTCAGCAATCGAACGGTTCCTCTTCAAATTCAAAAGACTCAAACTCTGAATTGTAATAACAGTACTGTATTTATTACTTATACGCCAGGATTGTAAGGGGAAGTGACGGAGTGAAAAAATGACCTCCCTAAAAGTACTAGTATACAAGTATTTAGCGACTTTATAATAGAAACGAACAAACCTGGATTCGCTACGTACTAAACCTATTCGACATGAAAGTGGCAAAGTATGAAGTTTGTACTTGAACTCACTAAACACAAGTCTTACGCCTCATGAACAAGTACTGTACCTAATCAACAACACGAATCCTTAAACATGCACAAGCCGTGTTCAAAGACCTTCGTCCGAGTGAACTGGAATGTTCATTGGAAGACTTTAATCCTCAAGTGAATACACATTGGATTTTCACAGAACTTATTCCTCGAGAATGATTTTTCGAAGGAATAAAAACAATGCGCGGGATGAATTTTGTCCAAGTACGAAGACTTCCTCGCTCGTGAAAATTTTAGTTGAATTTTTTCAGCGTCAATGTTCCTATACCAAAATTAAATTTTTAAATTCTTCGAGACTACTCATCGAGAAAAATATTCTGGAGACATTTCTTTCATGGTCCAATTCGGAATACTTAACTGAAAATGCAAAAGATATTACGATTAAATCGATCCGCAAAAATATCTCGGGTTGGACTTCGAGACCTAGTAATTTCGTCTGAAATGTTGTTTGCCGTTCTTGTGTTTAATTGTCCTTTTTTGTGGTGAAATTTTGGTTAGCTTTTCTACTCTGAAAATTTATCAAGTTGAATGTGGCTTTACATTATCTTGCTGAACAGTATTTCTTTCGGAAAAGGATAAAAAAAAAAAACCGCAGATGACGGCGATGCACGATGCTTTTAAAAACTCCAAGAAATCATCTTCCAGACTCCGAATGAGTTTAGACAGCAAGACGTTGTCGGATATTTTCTCAAGAAACGCATTAGCTGTATCTAGAACACGATTTCCATTCCAGAGAGAAATTCAAGAATAAATTCTTGTCATGTTCGTGGCACCGGAAGAAAAGGGCTTTCGCAAAGTTCGAAAATTCCGTGAGGCCTGAATGCTGTTATTATTGGCGCAGCAATACTGTTATACAAAAATCCCTCGACCCATTTTGAATTCGGTGTCATTTCAGAAATGAAAGGGTCGCTATAGGAAATCAATTTGTTTCAAGCATAGATACGATCTTGGTCATCATTATTCAGGTGTTTTTTTTATCGAACTTGATCTTTATTCTTATTTTATTGAGCGCTTTCTGACGTGAAAAGGCTAGAAAATCTCGAATTCTGGATTGCTCTATTTTTTTTTGGAGAATTTCGTCCGGGTTTTAGAGCGTTCAAATAGTGTCAAAGTTGACATTTTCTCCACAAACTATTTTTTCACGTCATTTCGAAGTAAGCAAATAGCCTCACTGATGTACTTGGTCACCATCAAGTCCACTAAGAAACTCGAAGCGTAGTATGTTTCTAATATACCAGCCTGGACAAATGATCTCGAGAAAAGATGACGCATTTACATTTTGAAACAATTTCCATATGATACCCTATCTATATATCTCCACAAAATTGATTTTTTTCCTGGAGAATTTCGTATAATTTTTCACATGGCGAATGTCGAGGGTTGAAATTTTCTTAAATGCTGTTCTAGCAATTCCGATTTTTTTCATTTCGTTTTATTTATGCGAAGAGGATTTTTTATCTTGAAGATAAAACTTTACTCCAAAAATCGAAAATTTCATGGATAAAACTCACGCTTTTTACTCATAAAACTCTCCATTATAATGGTTTCTCGCCATTTTTAAGCTTCGTTTTTTTTTAAGCAAGGAAACTCTGAAAATATTGAATTTTTCTTCTTGAAACCCAGGTAAAATATGTATTATTGAAATGACCAAGGATAAAGGCGTGAAACTTTTTTCCATCACGATTGATTTTTGTATCCGTGAAAAATTTCGGATAATTTTTCAAATGGCAAGAAACGAGGTTTGAACTTTCCTCCAAAGCTGTTCTCGTTGGAATTCCCATATTGAAGATTTCGTTTCATTCATACGTAAAGGCTTTTTCATCTTTAAAAGAAAACTGAGAAAATTGTCTGCATCGCATCAGGTGTTTTACCCCGAAAAATGTCTTACTGTATAATGGTTTCTCGCCTATTTTTTTTAAGCCTTTAACCTTTTTTTTAGCAAAAAAAAAACTCATGGAATATTAGATGTGTCTTCTTGAAACCAAGGTAAAATATGTATTCTTGAAATGGCCAAGGATAAAGGCTTGAAACTGTTTTCCATCACGATTGATTTTTGTCGTGGGAATTTTGGGATAATTTTTCAAATGGCAAACGACGATAGGCTCAAAACATCCTCCAAATCTGTTCTCGTAATTCCGATTTTGAAGATTTCCTTTCATTCATGCGTAGATGTTTTTTCATCTTGAAAATAAAAGTGAGCTTTAAAAATTGAAATTTGTCTGCATCGCATCAGGTGCCATATCCCCCGAAAATGTTCTTACATAAAGGTTTTTCGCCAATTTCCTTTTTAGCATATATATATATATTTTTTTTAGCAAGAAAACACGCACAGAATATTGGATTAGGAATTCTTTAAATCCATGTAGGCTATGTATTCTTGAAATGACCAAGGAACCTTTTTCAAAGGTTTGAAACTTGTTTCCATCACGATTGATTTTTGTCGTGGGAATTTTGGGATAATTTTTTCAAATGGCAAACGACGAAGCTCAAAACATCCTCCAAATCTGTTCTCGTAATTCCGATTTTGAAGATTTCCTTTCATTCATGCGTAGATGTTTTTTCATCTTGAAAAGAAAACTAAGCTTTAAAAATCGAAAATTGTCTGCATCCCCCGAAAATTTTCTTACATAATGATTTTTCGCCAATTTCCTTTTTATCATTCATTTTTTTTTTAGCAAGGAAACACGCCCAGAATATTGGATACAGAATTCTTTAAATCCATGTAGGCTATATGTATTCTTGAAATGACCATAAAGGACAAAGGTTTGAAACTTTTTTTTCCCCGAGTTTTACCCCGGGCGTACGTATGGTTGAACCAACAGATATTCCCGTGTTCACTCACACTCACTCCACATATCACACGTACGGGGGAAAAGTTAACTTCCCTTAAAGCCCATCCACCTGCGCTGTTTCTTCCCTGTGTCCTTCAAATAAGTTCTGCAGTAAGAAATTCACTCGTTTCTCTCCTCATCTTGCCCCCCCCGGGGCAATGATCGATACGAAAGTGTGATGACAGGGCCGAGACGAGATTCAGGCAGCAGCAGCAGCAAGAACAAAAGCAGCCCAGTAGTTTTCCTCGCGCCAATCGTGTTGCGGCCTGCGGATCGATCCTTTGCTTGTGTCTGTAGTGTACCCCCCCTGTGATGCTTTTTGGAAAATCGATCCCTTGGCCGCAGGCTGTTGAGGTGGTGAGGATACTGCTGCTGCTGGTGATTCCTGCTGCTGCTGCTGTGGTGATGCTGTCTTGTCCTGCTCATCTTGTTGCCTCCGAAGCCGGGAATATTGCTCTTTTGTCCGGCTTCGATCACGGCCATGCATGTCTCGGTTCCTGTCAGGTTCCCGGCGTTATATAGCTTCGATACATATAGAAGGTGGTACCAAAAAAATAATAATATTTTTTTGTTTTGGGACAAGACATCAACAACGTTATTAGAATGCTGAAATCGGATAGGACAAGAATGTCTTGTCGGCGGACTTGGGAATATTGGATGTGACTTAGAATTTGGGGTGCTGTTTGATCGTAACCCATCGA